ATGCACACAGACCAGTGGTCTGTCAAATGTAACCATTGGTGTATCTCACACCAATGTGAAACCCATTGTCGTAATCAAGTGGCTACATGTAGCCACTTGCGTGTAACCCCGTTACACGGAAGCCTTGACACCGAACTGGGTCTTGAGCTCCGCGGCAAAGAACTTGCCCGTCGAAGTCGCTCGCACGATCTGCCGCACTTCTCGGTCGGTGAGAGCAGGTTGTCGTCCTGCCCTTGGCTTCTCTCTGCTGTCGCCGCTCTGCGGGCCCCTCTCCGCCTTGATCGCGCTCCTCGCAGCCGTTCTTGAGCGGCCGGTTCTGCGTGAAATCTCACGTAGCGAGACTCCACCGTCGTGCAAGCCGATCACCCACCAAAACGCTTGGTTAGTGAGGGCTGATCCGCGGCACATTAGAAAATGAAAGGCTAGGAGCTCCAGCGGAAGCCCCCAGCGCGCTGGTCGCACCGTTCCTCCATTCGTCATGTCCGTTTAAGTTCGATTATTTTAATATAGAAGTTTGTAAGGAAGCTCATAAACAGTGTTCGATTTGACAGAAAAAAGGGGGGTGGTTCTAAGTTTTGACGCTGCTGCGGATCTAGTCAATTTGTATGCTAGCGTGGTGAAGCAGGCCGAGTTCGCGGTCGTTAGCACATGTAGCGGCTAGATAATCACAATACAAACGCTATATCTAAATAGCGGCTCCCAAGTCGTCCTACAGGCGCCGCAATCAACGGAACCGAGCACGAAAAAGAACGGTCCAAATGATTTGGCGCGCACTGTATTCATAACGAATATATAGCCGGAGCGTTTTGAGTTTGTGCTCGTTTGTAAAGGTTTTTACAAATTGACACAAAATAGTACAAATTCAATTGTACATTCGTACAAACTGCCATAAAACGAAACTGGCTAGAGATCAGATGGCACACAAAGAACACTCAGAATATATTGGGCTGTGCTGACGAAGCAACGTTACTTTGCTAGGAGAGATGTTATTTTATGTGTTACATCGCAGTGACACTTGGCGCATCAGGGGAGCTGTTGTCGTACTTAGCTTAAGGCCCTGCATTTTGAAATCACCTTTTAATGGTTATTGGTTTGTGTAACACGTTTTTGGATGAATTGGCTTAAGAGAACTAGCAAGCAAAGTCTTCACCAAATATATCCAACATGGGACCGCTTGTCACCGAGTTGTTCCGTATCTGAACATGTAGACCATGCCCAAACGTGTCGTGTACCATAGACGAGAACAGTTTGTTCCGCTCTGAATTTGTACCGTGTGTAGCATCCACTATAATCGTGTCAGGGAAACTCGAAAAGAGCAATCGCATATGAGAAGTCTGGAATACGATGCTGTGAGCAAAGAAGGCTGTAAATGTTCAAACAATCACTGTAAACATTCAACTCGAAAGCTATCCGCCCTTGTTGTTTTATTGATCCAAATCAACGTGACCGACTCCAAAATGCTCGTTCTCACAAAACCGGTTTAGCGTGTACAAAACCCGACCGATGTTCAACCGCCCTCTTCACTCTTCCGCTTAGCGAGCGTGTTGTGGACGTAAACCATGTATGGCCCCGAGTCGGTGTTGTCCCATATGAATTCAGGATCTTCTTGCGAGACACTCCGGTCTTTCTGAGCTTATTCACTTCATCCCGAGCCTTCGTGGTAAGTTGCATCCGGTGGCTCGGTATCTGGTGGTATTCCGCCTTCCGAATCTGCGATTGTGCGTAGTATGTTATAAGAGCGTGTTCGCTTTGCAGCAGTAGATGGAGACGACCACGCCTTACCATCTTTTCTCGTCTCTGATTGGATTAAATGCGAAGGATGTCGACAACACAGCAGGAGAAGAATTAACTTTTTCTGTACATGTTGTCTCCACCTCCGAGAGGTGGAGAGGGAGAATTTTAGC